TTCGTGCAGTGCCCTGAGACAACAGTTGTTGTGACTTGGTGCTATATAAATAAACTGAATTGAATTAGTTTCTTTCTAATAAAAATTTTCATGCTTATTTTAGCTATCTTCTGGAATTTAAGCCACTTTTTAAATATTGTCGGCTAACTTTAGCTTTTATCTTTTCAGCTTTTATATTAATTTTTAGTAGTTCTATCAGCTTTTTCTAATTAAAACTTTTATGCGTATTTCAGCTGTTTTCTGCAATTCAAGCCACTTTTTAAAGCTATTTTAAGCTAATTTTAGCTTTTTTCCTTTATTTTCAGCTATTCTGTTAATTAAATTTGTTTGTGTTTCTATTAACCTAGTTTCTATTAGTTATTAGACCGGGTAGGCCGGGTCCTTTAAAGGGTGCAGCCCCTGAATGTGGACACAGCTGAGGACCCCCTGAAGAAAAAACAGCTAAAAGAAGAAGAAAGCCCACCCTTACCGATCCTCTTGGCCTGACTGAGCAGCTGAGCCGAGCCTCTGATGAACAGCGAGTCCAGGGTCTTCTGGGGGGCTGCTTTAGGTTTGGATCTGGAACACAAAAACTGGTCACGGCTGAAACTGAACGGAGCCCAACGAGTGGACGAAGACCCCGGTCCTGGTACTCACAGGGAGGCAGCGCAGGCGGGCGAGGACACGCCCCCGTAGTAGAACCCGTCCTGACACAGGCGCTCCCTCAGACCGGCCCCCCTCCCCCTCCCCCTCAGCCGGCCGGGGGCTTTCCCAGAGAAGGAGGACTGCAGCTCGGCTCGCTTCGAGCTCATCTTCTGGTACTGAGCACTGACGTGGTACTGACAGAACGGACACTCGTACTGCACACACACCGGCAGCACGTCAGCAAACGTCACGCACAAACAGGAAGTCCCACAAAACGTTAGAATCACAAGAGACGCACCAGGTTCACGATCTGAGAGCAGGGCTCCCCGTTCTTCTTTGCAGCTTTGCAGGTCCCAAAATCCTGAGCCTCACCCAGAACCAGGATCTTCTGTGGGTGGTCCACCGTCAGACTCACCTGTAGAACCAAACAAACAAAACAAACATTTCATTTCTGGTAGAAAATCTGTGAAACTCAAAGTCTAGACCAGGGCTATTCAACTGGTGGCCCGCTGGCCACATCCGGCCCACGAGTGACCAAAGTTCGGCCCGCCAACTGGTTCATTCATCTCTTCAGCCCCAGTTTTCCACTTTAAAGGGGAGCAATTATGCAAAATCAACTTTTTTCCAGTTTTTTTCCTTACATTTGTGTCTGTACTGCTTCTAAAAACAGTCCAAGCACCAAAAAAATACACTCAGATGTGTTTTTACTTTATGTAAATGTATTTTTCTGTGTCTTTAAAGGACCTGTTTTCAAACACAGCTACTTGTGATGTCACATGTCGCACTCCAGCCCACCCCAACCTGAGCCCAGCTCGTCTGCTGGTAACCCAAGAGACTCCGCCCACTTCTTCACAGGACGGTTCTGCTGTTTTAGAACAGTCATGGAGAACAGAGATGTGTGGATTAATTTTATTTTTGATGGCAATGTTCTTACACCAGAGTTAGTCATGGAGTTCCTCAGGGTTCAGTGCTTGGACAAATCCTCTTTACTTTATACACTCACCGACCATTTTATTAGGTACACCACGCTAGTAACGGGTTGGACCCCCTTTTGCCTTCAGAACTGCCTCAATTC